TCCTGCCTTTCTCTCCTTCCTTCCCTTCTCTCCTTCCTTCCTCTTTCCTCCCTCCCTCCTTTCTCTCCTTCCTTCCCTCTTTCTATCCTTCCCTCCTTCTTTCTCCCTTCCCTTCCCTTCCCTTCCCTTCCCTTCCCTTCCCTTCCCTTTTCCTTCCTTCCTTCCTTCCTTCCTTCCTTCCTTCCTTCCTTCCTTCCTTCCTTCCTTCCAGAAGCAGAACTGGAAGGCATTTTAAGAGGAGAGGCTGAACGCCTTGCTGAAGAAATCCATGGCCCACACGAGCTCTTTGTACTATCAGGAAAAGAGAAGAAAGGGAGGGAAGCCCCCAGAGACAGGAGCAGCCAAAGTCCAAGGAGATGTTGGGGGAAGGGAAGCAGAGAGAAGAAGACGCTCCTTGTAATAAATGCCCTTGATATCACTTGGGGCTGACGGTTTCCTTCCACATCCTCCACGGTGAAGGGAAGAGAGTCTCGGTCCCTTTAAGTCCTCCAACCTTGGCCCCTTTAAGCCTGGCGGACTTCAACTCCCACAATCCCCCAGCCAGCTTTGCTGGATAGCCCTTTGTGTGAGATGGAATAAGGTCTGCCTTACTGGGCAGGGGGTTGCACTAGATTACCTTAAAGGTCCCTTCCAACCTTAGGATACAATGATGTTCTGGCATTTTCTTGTATAGGCTCAGCGTTTCTCGAAACCTGGCAACTTTTAACTCCAAGAAGTTGAGACAGACAGATCAGAAACTGGCCAGGTTTGAGCAACACTACAATAGCTTTATGGGTGAGTCACTAACAGAATACAATACAATCCTGGATTGTATAAACAGAGGCCCAGAACCAAGATCACGTGAAGTATTACTACCGCTTTACAAAACCCTAGTAAGGCCACACCTGGGATACTGCAACCAATTTTGGTTACCACACTACAAAAAAGAAGTTGAGACTTTGGAAAAAGTCCAGAGAAGAGCAGCTAAGAGGATCAAAGGCCTGGAGACTAAACCATAGGAAGAACGGCTGCAGGCTTTGGGTCTGGCTAGTCTGAAGAAAAGAAGAATTAGGGGTGACATGATAGCAGAACTTCAGTATTTGAGGGGCTGCCAACAAAGAAGAGAGGGTCCAAATATTATTATTATTATTATTATTATTATTATTATTATTATTATTATTATTATTATTATTATTATTATTATTATTATTAGCCAATGGATGGAAACTAATCAAGGAGAGAACCAACCTGGAACTAAGGAGAAACTTCTTAACAGTGAAGACAATTAACCACTGGAACAGCTTGCCACCAGAAGTTGTGGTGCTTCATCACTGGAGGTTTTTAAGAAGAGACTGGACAACCGTTTGGCTGGGATGTTATAGATTCTCCTGCTTGAGTAGTGGGCTGGACTAGCAGACCTTCAAAGTCCCTTCCAGCTCTCTTCTGATTGATTGATTAAAGAATCGATCCTTTGAATAGATCCAGTGTCTTCAAAGGGGCCCCACCATCATGTGAAACGCAAAAAGTTCTCATTATTATCCAGTTGATCTTCCACATTAAGCAGCCCAGCTTTTCCCACTGTTCCTGAAAATCTATACTATTTGGAATATCTCTTAAGACTCCTGGGTTTTAAAACTTCCTGTTCAATGCGCATTAACATTTCAAAGGCATTTCTTGCTTTTTGAACAAAGGCTGGACTATTCCTTCCCAAATAGGTTTTCGTTACCTGTTAAAAATTTACACTCCCACAGGAACCAATTATAATAGGGTTGATCTTTACAAGACAAAGAGTTTTCCTACTATCCATCAGGCACACAAAAAAATATCCACTAACACACATATATATAGTCTCGCCAACAACCTAGCATCTTTTTAACATTTTAAGAGACACTGGAAATAAATACATGAGTGAATTCATAATACATAAAGATGGCACTTCTAAATCCCCAAAATTTTATTCCAACTTTGTTCAACAGACACACACACCCCACCACAAAAAAGCTACTTACAATCTGGATTCAAAGTTCTAAGTAACAGTGACAAGAGTTGGAAGGGATCTTGGAGGTCATCTAGTCCAACCCCCCTTGCAGGAGTCGTCTCTTTGTCAAAGGCCTCCAGTGTTGGGGCAACCACAATTTCCGAAGGCAATTTGTTCCACTGGTTAATGGTGGTTAATTAATGTGCTCCGTTGTTTAGTTGTGGTTAATTGTGGTTCCACAGGTTAATTGTGATGGATGGGCCCCTCCTGAGGTCATCTGGCCACGTTTTGGGGGCTCAGCAACTGCGTTTACAGCTGTCTGCAGCGTCCCACAATCATGTGAGTGCAAAAAATGCCCCATAGCAAACAACGTGTTGCTTCACAACTATAGTGTTTGTTTTACGACCGTCAGGTTTGTTTAATGACCAACGTGGAAAAGTTCTAAAATCAGGTCTTGGCATGTGGGTGACCTGCTTAACAACTATCACAACTTACAACCGGAATTGCAGACTCAATTAGCATTGTAAGTGGAGGACTTACCTGTATCCTTAAATTACTGCAAAAAAGGAACAGGGAAGTTGTGGCAAGAGATAAGCGATGTTTTGAAAACCGAAGGAGAGAAAATATACTTCCAACATTTCAAAAAGGAAAAAAAGTTCAAGGTAAAATTTGGGGTAAAACTCTCAATAATCCCAATTTCAGAATACAAAATAAAATATATATATCCATTCGATGAATGTATAAGATTAAATTATAATGAAATTTAGAACCTCATATAAAATGATGGAAAAATAGTTTAGTCAAATGAATGTTTAATAATTGATAATTGATAAGCACAAGCTAGATTGATAAGGTGAAAATTTATATATCTTGTGAGTAATGGTAAAAAAAAGGATAGCACAAAAGATTGTAACCAACTGACACACTGTATGTATATAATTGAAAGAGGGTTTTATGTTTCTATGTTTTGTTTGTATGTTTGTTGTAAAAAATAAAAACTTTGTAAAAAAATAATAATCCCAATTTCATTTGAAAGTTCACTGTATCAGGGCCAAATGAGCAGAACCTCTAGGACAAAATCCAAGTTCCAACCCAATATTCTCTATTGAATATTGTATCATATCATCATATATATTATCATATATCGTATCATATATTACCACATATCATAAATATGTACTATAATGAGGAAGAAAGGAAGGGAGGGAGGGAGCGAGAGAGGGAGAGAAAGACAGAGAAAGAAAGAGAAAGAGAGAGAAAGAGGAAGAGAGAAAGAAGAAAGGAAGAGAAAGGAAAGAGAGAAAAAAAGGAAGAGGAAGGAAGAGAAAGGAAGGAAAGAGAGAGACAGACACAGAAAGGAAGAAAGGGAGAGAGAGAGAGAAAGAGAAAGAAAGAAAAAGGAAGGAAGGAAAGAGAGAGAGAGAGAGAGAAAGAAAGCGAGTACGAGAAAGAGAGAGAGACACACAGAAAGGAAGGAAGGAAGGAAGGAAGGGAGAGGGAGAGAGAAAGAAAGAAAAAGGAAGGAAGGAAGGAAAGAGAAGGAAGGAAGGTTACTTTTATCTGAGCTTCTCCTGCGGTCCCGGGGACAAAAAGGCGGCCCTGCAAGCGAGGTAGGCCCACGCCTGTCCACACCGCCCTCCTGTTGGCTTCACGGGCCCCGAACACGCGTCTCCCAAGAGAGCCCGGCAGCAGCGTCGTCTGAAGCCGGGCCGAGGCTCGCCCACTCCCTCCCCGGCAGCTTCCCCGCGCCGCAATCCCCGAGCCGAGGGCGGCGTCTCAAGGACACCCATCCGCACGTGGGGACGCGCTGCCCGGGGCAGGAAGG